AAATAAAAATTTTAAAACCTCATTTTGCTGACCCGGCGGGATATGAAAACCGAAAATATAAGTTTGTATGGCCTAATTTAAATAGAAGTTTAATATGCTTCGCACCCCTGTGTTAAAGTTATATATCGCACCTTAATATGATTGGCTAATTATTTATAAAAAAATAAACAAATTTTGATTAATTTTCTTTAGATTAAAACTAATTCATAAAAAATTAAGAAAATAGATAAATCTTTTTGCAATTATATGCAAATTTGATGCTGAACAAGTTTAATTAGAAACAAAAAAGACATTGACATAATAAAATCTAAAGAAAATATAAAAAATATGCAAAAAAATGTAAAAAATGCAAATATATTTATATTTTATTATGCTAACCTTTTTAAAGTTTCTAAGTAAACTTGTTCAGCATCAAATTTTGCATATAAGTATAAAAAATAGTAACGTTTTTTTTAATATTTCTATAAGTTTTCTTTAATCTAAAAAAAAAATAAAAAATTGTTTTTTTTTTAAAAAATAACGATCTGCAAAATTAGCCAATCATATTTAAGTGCAATAAATAAGCATATCGCAGAGTGCAAGATATGCATTTATTCATTTAAATAAATTTTTTTTTGCTTTTTTAAAGTTTTTTTATTTTAATTATTTTACTTTTTGGGTTTTAAAATTTATTGCACTTGCAATATATTGTACCCCTAACTATATAACTTTAATTTATTTTTTATTAATTAATATAAATAACGATAACATATACTGTATAACAATTTATACATATTGATATATTTAGAAGTTCCAGATAAAAATTTACTATTACTCAAATTATACTATTGGGGCAGCACAATTCTTAATTGAGATAATTCAAGTATCTTAACAAGGTAAAAAAAGAGATTCGCTAAAGTGCATCTAAACTGATTAGTATATATGATATTTTGTATATTTACAAGTTATATTACTTATATGAATACCCAAACAATTATAAATAATTACTTATCTAGTACAAGTTAGTATATACAACTCTAAATCGATTATGCTAAATATATATACATTTCATTTATATACATATGTATATACCAGGTATAGTACAATACTCAAAGTTGCTGATTCTTGGCTTTTTTAGAGCATATTGCAATATTATGACCCAAACTTTATAGTAGCTACATTGATTCTGTTTATGCTTTCTTTTGCCATTAACCAATAATTCACTTGTTGGACGTTGGCTTTGTTGATTATGGTAGCTAGATAGTTTCAGCTATCCTCTAATAGCAACTTTCTTCAGATTTCTAAGAATGATGTTTGGAGGAGTATTCTCTTTATTTGATTCTTTATTTTTTGAATTATTCACTTGTTGACTTCTAGTTTCTTTTTCATGTATGCTAGCTAAATATGTTTTGACTAATCCAACAAACCCATAATCTTGGTGTAAAAAATATTTATTAATTGCAATATGAACTAAGCCCCATATTTCTTCATAAAACAACTGTTCATTTATAAAGCTGGTATTCTGGGTAAATTGCTCATTTTCATTATTGAATAGTTGAAGCTATTCAAACTGTTAATTATTTTTTATTTCTCAACTTATACCAAAATCTAAAATATCATCTACAAACTATTGTCTATAATAATTAGGTTCTTTTATTATATTATTTTGGTAAATTTTAGGGATCCACCTCAAATTAATAAGCTGTATATTAAATTGTGCTGCCTTTGTAATATTTAGAAGGTAAAATTTTGTCTACAAACTAGTTCTTGTTTTTGCTATAACAAACAAGTGCAACTATATGATTCATTGACAAGGCAAAAAACTACATAGTTTATATTTTGTCTTGTAACTCTAGAAACTTTCCACACCTCTTTAATTTTGGTACAATCCAATTGCTAAAGAAGAAATTTAGAACATAAAAACACACCATCAGGTTCATCTTTATAATTATCACTTTTAGATAGCTTATTTATAGTCATGTTTTAAATTTTCTTAATATTAGAACGGAATAAAAAGTAATATATACTCTCTTTTATTTGATTGACTAAAAACTGTATAACTTTTGGACGCAAGTAATGACTAATAAGTAATTCAATTTGAGAAAAAATTGTTATAGTATTAACCTTAAATGGGACCTTCTAATTAAATCTTCATAATGTTTTTGCTTTAATTTATTTTCAGCACTATCTATTAGGACCTTTCCAAGTTCGAAAAATGATATATTACTACTTTTAATGATGTGTTTAAGACATGCATTTTGGCTTTCTACAAATAATGTAGATTTGATACCAAGTGTAAACAATGTAGTAGTAAATCCACAGGCCCACGATCTACGTCTATCATACAATTAATTCTGAAGATATATGCATGCTATTAGGTAATTATTATCATTTCTTCCCAATAATAGTAAAAAGTATTAGATGTATCAGCATTACAACATTTTTAAAAAAAGAATAAAAATCACCAGATGATTTACCAAGTTTTCCATGAAGTACTTTTTTAATATTTTTCTTTAGATGCCAAATACAAAGAATATGATGAGTTATAAAGTATTCAGTTATTATTGCACTTTCTATAGCAGGATCTCCATCAGTAACAAATACCTTAGGTATCTGTTCTTTTGTTGCTTTTTTTGTCATATATAAAACCCACTGGTATAATTCTTTTGTTTTGTCATTTAGTAAAGCCTGAGCAACTATTCTTGATTCATATTATTATCTGTAATAGCAAAATGTGATAATAGTATATGATACCGATTTGTTCCAGCAGTGTTATCATGGCCAATTGAATTACCAAACTTGTACTACAAAATAATTTGCTCCAGACTTATTCAGAAATTCCAGTGAGAGTGTTTGTTTCCAATTCCCAAATTACTTCAACAAACCACCTTGGATCTTCATGTTTTTTTGCTTGTAACTCTTCATATAATTGTGCTACATTATTTTTTTTAAAAAATTTGTCTAATTATCATTGCACCAAAATTATATTCTTTTACATAAAACTCAATGTCTTCTTTCATCTCATTTGTAAATACCTTTAGCTTTTCGAACTGTAGTGCCTTGAAATACATTTCATGGTTATGCTTATTTTTAAATGTTGTAACAAAGACACATAAATTTGAATTATTTTTTGTAGGTCTTGAGAGATTTATATGCTATTGACAACCATTACTTATCATTTTTCCAGACTTTTCAGGATTCCCTTGTTGATAATTACTGAAGTGATGACAATAAATTACCCTTTTTCATATTAATTTTTCATTCTCATTAGTTTTGATTGCTGTACCACCTTGAAGCCCATATATTTTGCATAGTTTTGTATATATTTCTCCACATTATTAAAATCATCAAACAATTGGTCTTCTTCTAATATGATGACTTCAGCATTTTTAAAAGACATTTTACTATCTTTAGGCAAGTCTTCAACATCAATATTGCCCTGATATAATTCATTCAAAGAATCTTTCAAATTAATATCATTATTGTTAACTATAACTTTATCAGATAGGTTTATTGAAATTCTTTTATTATTTTTATTTCTCATGTTATATATAAGTAGCAGACCAGTATAAGTGTGTGTGTGATTGAGTTTTAGTAAACAACCAATGAGAGGAATATTTAAATATGTGTGTTAGTATATTAGAAAGAGAGATATATATACAGTATAAGCATGTATTGGTATGTTGGAAATGATCAAAAGAAGAGATATATAGGTGAATGTGTTTAGTATATTAATAAACGACAAAGAGAGATAACAAAAGAGCAAAAAATAGGTTACTTACATTTTTTATATGAGAACAATTGTCATTATGATATAAACAAACAAATTCAAAACCATAATGTGACTTACAAGAAGGAATGTATCTAATCCAAAATAAATCCTGCACGATTGTCATTACAGTTAAACCTCCATAAGTGCACTGTGTACAGACCAGCTTCAATTGTACATTTAGAGAGGTTTGCATTTAGAGAAAGCTAATCAAATTGCAGCTTTTAATGTTTAATCCACAGGCTTGTATAACACAACTTGAATACTGAATTCTGATTGGCTACATACATTTAGAGAGGTTAGTATAATATAGAAAATCTTTTGAGTGAATGTGCATTTGCAGAATATAGAACGTGCATTTAGCACTAATGATTTCTTATAGCCAGACCAGGAACGTGCATTTAGAAAGGTATTGTATTTATGGAGGTTGCATTTATAGAGATTTGACTGTATAATGCAAACAAATAGCTGAGTTTAAATTCGAAACTATAATGTGACTAACAGGAAAGAACTTATCTGATCCAAAATGAATTCTGCACATTAAGTGATTAATTAAAACTAATATAAATAATTCAAACCTAGTTGTTTGTTTATATCGTAATATAAATAATTCAAACCCAGTTGTTTGTTTACATTATAGTAACTATATATACTATATATTGTATAATGGGTGCAATGCATAGTGCAATAAATTATAAAATCTTTACTTTTTATTATATATAAATACTGATTTTTTTAATAAGTTTATCAATTATTATAAAATGCATTTATAGTGTTTTAGTATTATATAATTAATTGTTTTTAATAAAATTTAAGAATAGGTTTGGGTATTAAGAATTATTTTTTTATATATAAAGAATTTAATTTTTAATACTATAGCACTATAGTGCTAAGGTATTATATCAATTAAAATTTAAAATTAGATATAACATGTAGATCAGCTTTGTATAATAAAAATAAAAAATTTTTTAAAAAATTAATTATATTTTATATCAACTCTTCCTAACAATCACCTAGACCAAAATTTTCTGCTAAAGAAAAACCAGAACTACTTGTTGGAGAGTCGTGGTCTATACAGTGGTTTGTCTAGAGG